TCTTCTGAGTGTTTTTTTTTATTTATTGTGTTCTCTGGCCTTGATCAAGATTGGAGAAATTTTAACTACAGTAGATTAGAAGGCATTATTAATTTTGATTCAGGAGCAGTTGGTAGAGCAAATGCCCTACCTTGGATACGCCACTGCTGGTGAATACCTATCCAAATTCACCAAATTTTATACTCAAAATTACGAGTTATAGACTCCCTAGGCACTAAGACTATTTTCAATTAATTATTCGTGTTAGCCATCCACTACATAAATTACTGATGGCTGGAAGTTCTCCACATCAAAGGCTGATCAAAGCCAAAGGTGCCAAAATGCAGCAAGATTTACCTGGTATGTATGATGTAGTATGGCCTCCATACTTTCCAGAAATTCTGCTTGTAAGTCTTTAGTACCTGTTGTGCTCAGAAAAATGGCCAGGTGATGTTGCTGCCATTTGGACCTTGCCATCAGTAATTTACATCATGGGTGGATATTGTGTGAAAAAATTATTTATTATGGATGAATATTATTAAGGCTGGTTTACAATATGATGATAGGCCAGTGCACCGTTAAATCAAAAGTGTGGTCAACTTTGCCTTTTTATGCTGGAATAGCCTATTCCAGCATCAGCATAACGTCAGGCCTTGTGTAATATTGTTAACTAGGCTATCTTGCATTCATATTCATTGAAAATAGCCTCAGCACCTAGGGGATCTATACTGTAACTTGCTTAGTTGTCATTACACAGCTGAAGTGTAGATGATATGACTATTTTTTCACTTCGGATAGCTTTTTAGAATCACTCCCAAGGATCATAAGTATGCTGGAATAGCTGTGCAGCTGGTAATGGTAATGTCTAGTGCAAATTAAAACACTTATGCTTATAAGGAAGAACGAGGCTGTTTTAAGACTATATCACAGCCATCATAGCTATAAATATTGGCCGCATCTTTATGAATATCATTATCGTTTGCTAGTATTATTATCATATCATCTCAACTTGACTCATCTCATTTTCTCTTGTTATCTTCTATCTACTGTATGTATATTTTTGTTCAGCTTCAGTTTGGGCAATTATAAATTCACTCTCTTATGATTTAGCTTATCAGTACCATATAACAATTAGTAAGCTTTGAATACAACACTCCCTTCCCTCTCTTATTCATACACCATGCTATTATTATTACTGTGATTTACAGTAAACAGAGCTTCATTCACATTTTAGGAGACATGGTTTTAGTAGTGTCAATTGGCACTTGCTACTTGTATGCTTACACAGCACTTTAATTTAGTGAACTCTCCCTCATTTGATGACCTGGACAACAGCAGTCCCTCATTTGGTATTCTTGCTGGTAGTAGATTGACCATGTGGGATGACGAATCTGGAGCTTGAACTCCTGCTGCCTCTGTGTCATTTGTCACCCTTAAGCTACCTCCTTACTGGGCGGCAGACCCACTCGTAAGGAACTCTTCAACAGTGGTTACCTGCAAATTTTGGCAATGTGAGAATGATACTAGCTTCCAACTAGAGATAGCCACTGACAAGATGGTAGAATTAACTGTGATACAGACAGTCAGGCACAGTAAATTAGAAGTTGCTAAACTGAGTGAGGAATTAGCTCACCTAAAAGCCC